ACCTTAAGGTGCTGGAGTTTGGCTAGAAGGCTGGGTTTGGATCCATGGGCTCATCTCTGCCAACAGGTTGACAGATAACAGGTTGATAACTGCCTGAATTAAAACCATTCCAATAATATGGATTATACCATTTGGATAATATGCCCACATATTTGGCAAAAAAAAAAGGGGAGGGGACTCCTCCCGCATCTCCACCCCAGAGAAGCCACACCAGAGCACTGGGTTGGGAGGAGGGAAGGATCTCTGCCTCTTTATTAAAGCCTTGGGTTTATGGTGGTGTCCTTGCCAGCTGAGGATGGAGAAGTGTGTGATGGTTCCAGAACACTAGAGTCTTCAGGGGTGATGCTGCTCATGTCCAGGAGTCACCCTCAAACTGAAGTGTTTAACGAGTTGTGAAAGAGGAGCTTTGAGGAATGTTCTAAAGGGACAGAATGGAGGAAAGCATGAGGCACCAAGAGTAGCACCAAAGAGGTTGGGATCATCTTCCAGATGTCAAGCTGCTAGGCACAGCTCCCTAGAAAAGAATAAGAGCCTTTTGACTCTTTAGACCCAAGGCTCATAACTTTTTGTCCTTCCATCCTTCACTGATCCATCCAACTCTTATCCCCCACCCATCTATTTATCCATCCACCATTCTCCATCTATCCCTTCATTCATCTATCTACACACCATTCTCCTTCCATCCATTCACGCATTTATCCATATATCTACCCATCATTCCCCATCCATCTTTCCACTTATCCATCTGTCTGCCCATCCATCTATCCCTCATTCATCCACCCACCCACCCATCTCTCTTCTATCTAATCACTCACCCCCCATTTAAAGTTCTTGAAAGCAGGGACTCTATTTTGCTCACTTCTATACTCCAGCCCCTAGAGCAGTGCTGGCACATAGTAAGTGCTTACTAAATGTTCAGTGAATTTATCTATCCATTTATCCATTTACCCATTTACCTCCCCCCACCATCCACTCACACATCCCCTCACTCAACATTTCTGGCAACCTACAATGCCCTACAATTCAAGGGGCAATTCAAAGACTGTAGGTTTCCAGGTTCGTTCTTGAGGATGAGAAACGAAAAGTCTCTTGGGACCACGCAGGCCTGGCAGGTGAATGAGGGGAAGGTATCAGCTCAGGATGAAATCCTCAATCAAATGCCATTTGGGAAGGAGAGGGAAACCACTGTATGGGCAGGTAGGGCCCTCACAGAGCATCTTCTCCAAGGCTCCCATTTGACATGGGGAGAAAGGAAGAAACTTGCACAAGGCTAACTATCAAGTTAATAGCAGACTGGCTATTAAGGCCCAGGGTTTTTCTGCTACTTCAAGCTGCTTCCGACACCAAAGCCCAACTGGAAGAGATCAAATGTTCCAAAGGGACTATAAAGTCAGCTCCTTGAGGACAAAAACAGGGGCTTCTTCTCAGCTGTATTTTGCCTCTGGTCATGGTCATGACATTTGAAGTAGCAGCCCCAGTCAGAGAAATGACCATCCCCAAGGCCTGGTGGACCTGGCACGTAACAGACACTCAATCAACATTTGCTGTCAGTTCCTTCTCTGCCTTCCTCATGAACCCCTCTCTCCTCCTCTGCCAACCCCTTACATAGAGAGGTTCTCCAGGGCTCCATCCTCAGTGCCCTCTTATTTCTCACTCTGCACAAACCCTCCCAGGGCAACCACACCTTTCAACTGCCCACTCCGTCCTAGATCAGATCTCTATTACCAGCCCAGACCTGGCCAGTGAGTTTTGGAGCCGTATTTCCAACTGTCTACAGGTTATTTCCACCTGGAGTTCCCATGAGCACCTCAAACCCAATCTGTCTGAAGGCAGGAGTGTGCCTGCCATGCCCCAGGAAGAATGAGAGCCTTGGCAGCTCTCATGCCAGCCTTGGCATGACTGAGAGCAGAGTGGGGAAACAAGGGGAAGTGTTCTAGGCAATGAGATCAGAGAGACAATGGGGTGGGGGAGGACAGAGATCATGTCGGGTCTTGTAAGCCACTGAAGGACTTTGGCTTTTACTCAGAAATGCGGAACTATTGTAGAGTTCTGAGCAGAAGCATGACATCATCAGATTTAGGTTACCCAAGTCAGAAACCTGGAAGTCGTCTGATTCCTTCTTTCTTTTCCACACCATTTCTGATCAGTTACCAAGCTCAATCTTCCTGGTCTTTATTTATCGTGACTGCCCCTCCTCTCATCTCTATTCCTACTGTGATGATTCAGGACCTAATCATCTCTAGCTTAGTCTCTTGGAGTAATTCCTAACTGGCCTCCCTGCCTCTAGTCTCTCCCCTTTCCAGTTAACTCTCCCCATTCACCACCAGAGTGACTGATCTAAAATTCCAACCTCCCTTGCTCAAAACTCTTCAATGACTCCTGACCCATAGGTAAATGTCTATGGATCTTAATAAGGCACACGTAAGGTCTCTTGATTAATCCCCAGCTACCTTGCCTGCATACTCCAGCAGTTCAACTGCTCCTGGTCCCACCCTCTCCCCTGCCCTAAGAGCACACACACACACACACATACTGACACTCACTCTACTGAGACTCACCTCTGTGCCTTTGGAATACCCCTACCAGTTTTTTTCTGGAAAATTCTTTCTTCAGGTGTCACCTCCTTCAGGAAGCCCCATGATTCCTTTCCTTCCTGTCCCAACTGAGGCTGGGATAAGTGGTCTTCTTGCTGTTTCCATTTCTATTATGGGCACTTATCCATATTACATTATAATTGGCAATTTACTTGACTGGCCCCACACTAAACTGTGAACTTCAAGGGCAGAGACTATATCATTCACTTCTGTGTCCCAAGCTCCTAAAACAGGCACTGGCATTTCCTGCGAACTGTTAGGTTAATACTGAACAGCCTCGTCATCCATGGACCCAGTACATACCTTGTCACAAGTGGATGGCAGGAGGTGTGACTTGGTGCGGGTACGGTTTCTGTCTGAGCTAGAGATGGTGGAAAGGAAAGGAGAGGGCTGAGAACTCTGAATTCGAGGGTCAGATCAGGACATGGTTTAAAAATCCCCCCGCCCTGCTAGGATATTGTCAAACCCTCGCTCTCTCCCCTACAGGCTCCTCATCTTTCTCCCAGGACAAAGGCCTCTCCCTTGAAGCCTCACTCACGGGGTATTAGTGCCTCGGGTCCTGGTGAAGAACACTGGAAGTAGAGGCCCCAGTCAGAGAAATTACTATCCCCATAGCCAGAGAGAGATGTGGCTAGGGAGGAAGGGACTGCGGTGATTCCTGGCCAGCAGTGAGGAGTGGGTACTGGGTTAGTAAGGGGGGGCCACTATGCAGTCCTGGGGCCGGCTGCAAGATGGGGAAGATGGGCGCAGATCCTGGAGAGGTCAGCTGTGGTTAGGAGGGGGTCAGGGACTGGAGCTAGGGCTAAGGGAGGGTCTCTGGACACAATGGTCCTGGAGTGGGGGGTCACCGTGATTGGATATCTGAGTGCCCCGGTCTTGCATCTGTTTTTCCTTGGTGGGCACAGGGTTCATGTGGTAGCCAGCGATAAACAAGGCCTCATTAGTGAGTTCTGTGCTGATCCGGGTCAGGAGTTCCTCAGAACGGGATAATGAAACCTTTGGGGAAAGGGAAAGTCAGAGGGGCTCAGCCTGGGAGTTGCTACATGGGAGTCCTGGGTCTGGGGGCTCTGGGTCTAAGGAGTCTGGTATTCAAGGGCTGGGCCTTGAGGTTTGGCCTAGAAGGCCCTGGAAGTAGGGGGCAGTCTTTGGGGGCCTCAGGGCCTAGAGCTGGGGGCTATGGGCCCAGGGTTGAGGCTAGAGTCTCAAGGCTGGAGGTCACAGTGCCCTTAGCCTAGGAGCTCTCTACTTCATGTCACCCCCACGTCTAGAAGTCCCCTCCAACGCTCACCGGACCTCCACCCAAGGAGGCTGCAGCTTGGGACAGCCGGCTGCCCTTTTTCTCCTCATTCCTGGCAGGAGTGGATGCCATCATCCTGGAACAGTTGGAGCCTGTGTTAGGCTGAGAAACCAGCCCACTTCCCCCAAACCCATCCCACCACCATCCCCAGGGCCCAGATTTAAACAAGGCCTTTGGATGAACCATCCTGCTGTCTGTTTTTTCTCCGAAAAAAAAAAAAATTATTGCCTTCTATCTTCCTGGGGAAGGAAATGGGTGGGAACTCCCACAACTCCGACTCCGTCCCCTCGCCCCGGGGACCTCTCTTTCCTTCTTCCCACCCAAGGCCCTTCCCAAGACAAGGCAGCCGACTTGCCCACCCGACCTCGTAGATGGGTTGAAATCTTGGGCTACTCGGCAGGAGGGGAGACGAGGAGATCTAAGGAACCGCTATTATAGGTCTTGGGGGACGGGGAGTTGGAGTTGGGGAGGAAGGTTGGAAAGAGGGGGACCGGGGTGGGGCACTGCTACCCGTTGCTATAAAAACCCTGGTGTCTGCGGACGTTCCGCAGCCCCGTTGCCAGGAGATTAGGGATTCCAGAACCGGGGGTGGGGGGTGATTTTCCCAGCACGTCGTATTCGCTCTTCCTGCCTCTCCTCCAACGCCCTCAGGTCCCTCCTTGGTGGCGGTGACCCCAGCGCCAGAGGCTTGAGAAACTTGGGAGGACCACACAGGGTGGAGCCTGGGACCTAATCCTCCTACCACTAGGGGCAGGCAAGAAGCAACTTCGCCCTACACCGCCCTCCAGCCTCTCTAGTCGTCACCTAGTAGCCTGGAGCCTGCGAGAGCAAATGAGGGCCGAGAGAGGGGGCGGGGAAGGAAAAATGTGGACTGTACTAAATAACCTCGCCTCTCGAGGATGCAATGACTCGGGAAGGCGGAATCTTCTCCCCTTTCCTTTGTCTCCAGGAAGTCACACCCTCTACAGAAAGGAAAGTAGAGATATGCATCAAGGCCTCCTTCTCTTTTGACCTCTCCTTTTCAGTTCCTTCCTTTTTTCGGCGTCATCGGTTCTTTGCCCCGTCTCCCCCCTCTGTGCTTTGGTACGAGCCCATGAAAAGGGACGGAGGGAGGAAAAGGAAAAGGAAGCGGGCAGGTCTTAAAGGGGCCGCAGCCATTTTTTTAAGCCTCTTTTTCCTTTCTCCAATTTTGCAAGGCCGAACGCAGAAGAGTAGGTTTCTGGAAGCCGAGCACAGCTGGAGCAGCAGGGGCCGCAGCTGGAGGCGGGAGCGCCTGCGGGGCGGGCAGAGGCGTGGGTCTGCCCATAGGAAGGGCGTGGTGTGCGCGCGCCCTGCGCCCCGCGCACATCTGGGTCGGCCCATGCTCCGGCCGGCAGCGACTTTTAACATCTGGGGCCAGGCGGGAGCAGTAGGGGCCTGCGCGCAGTTGGCGCGGCGGATGCGCCGGGCCGGAGGGTGAGGCCGCGCAGCGGGGCTGGGACAGAGCTGGCGCTTCCAGATCCGGCCCGGGGCGACAAGAGGGCCGCCGCGATGCCAGGCGAAAATATCTTCTTGTTTGTGCCTAACCTCATCGGTGAGTGCTGCCCGCGACTCCGGGCCGAAAGGGAGGGCGAGGGTCCTTTGGCAGGCTCCCTGATCCCGCCCTGTCTGTCTCCCTCCCCGTCCCATCTCAAGGTTATGCCCGGATTGTCTTCGCCATCATTTCTTTCTACTTCATGCCCTGCTGCCCCCTGACGGCCTCCTCCTTCTACCTGCTCAGCGGACTTTTGGACGCTTTCGATGGACACGCTGCTCGAGCCCTTAATCAAGGTGACAGACACCTCCTCCCAGCCAGCCCTGGGGCCCAACAACCCTCTGCCCCTTTCCCTACCTCCTCAGGACCTCAGGGTGGGCGGGTACTCGGGATCAGAGGGCTCCCTTATTCCCGTCTCTGTAGAGAGCAGAACAGAGTGGCCTGGTTTTTAGCAGACGGGATTTAAGCTAGCTATTGAGAAGAACTCACTGATAGTGAGGAGTGTGGGATAGCAAGACTAGACATGGCAGTGACAGTGCTGGAGGCTTCTCTGAATGAAAACCAACAGGTGTACTGGGCGTCTGCTGTATGCCAGGCACAAGCAATGGTGATTCCAGAAGGCATGTTTAGAGGGAGGATGGAGAGGGCAGGGGGATGGCTTCTGGAGGGTTGACTAATTTTTTAATCTATTCTCCAGACCCACCTCCAAGACTTTCCCTAAGACTTCAAGTCTTGTCTTGAGACCCAGCCCCTTGGTTCTGGGATTGATGAGTTTCATTCTCTCCACACTCCCATGCGGCCCCATTTCATGTCATGGTGACCCTTGCCCATCAACCTCACACCCTAGGGACAGCAGCCTGTTTTCCTCCCCGGGCGTGGATGGTGGACATTTTCAATCTTCTTTTAGACTCTGCCTTAGAGTGAAACACCAAATAATGGCCCCGGTCGTAGATCCACCGCCCCTTCCCACCTAATAGTCCTCATTTTTCAGGGACCCGGTTTGGGGCCATGCTGGACATGCTGACGGACCGCTGCTCCACCATGTGTCTGCTGGTCAACCTGGCCCTGCTGTACCCTCGCGCCACCCTTCTCTTCCAGCTCAGCATGAGCTTGGATGTGGCCAGCCACTGGCTGCACCTCCACAGGTCTGCGATTCTGGGGGTGTTGACCTGTGAAGATGACACTACAGTGGGGCCGAGGGGTGGGGGTGAGACCATCCCAGGACGTCTGGGATCGCTTCAGGATTTTTGGAAGGTCTCCTTTTTAGCTCTGCTTTGTTGAAGGATCCTGGGCGAATCCTCTCTGAATCAGTTTTAGTCCTGTTTACAGTGGGATTAAGCAGTCCCTAAGACTCTTCTGACCCGATATTCAAGGATTCCAAATAGATAACAGCTCTTGCGACGGGGTCTGGGGGCTTTCGAATGTGGCATTTGAATCCTGACTCTGCCTCCAACTAGGTAATTGTGTGGCTTTGGGCAAGACAGTGGTCCTCAGCTGTGCCCCAGTGCCTCCTCTCTACAAAAGAGGCCATCCCAGTACCTAGCTGGTGAGGGTTGATATAAGGACTAGACGGGTGTTAGTGTAATGAATGCTCATGGATCCCCCTTACTTCTCCCCAAGTTCTGTGGCCCGCGGCAGTGAAAGTCACAAGATGATTGACCTGTCTGGAAATCCAGTGCTCCGCATCTACTACACCTCCAGAGTGAGCATTTCCTGCCCCTCCCTTATTTACTCAGCTTTTGCCAAGTCCTGGGCTGAGCCCTGGTCCCAGGTTAGGAAAGGGCACAGGCACGAAGGAGGGACAACCAAGCCTGGGGAGGAGAGGCCTGTAAGCTGGGGCATGGAGGGTGGGATTGGTGGGGAGGGCCTGTGTGAATTGCTCCAGGCAGCAGGTGGGCATAAGGCCCAGGTGCACTCAGGGAGGAACTGAGTGGCTGGCGAGGAGAAGAGAGGGAGGGAGAGAGAAGCCAGAGAGGTCGGCAGAGCCAGCTCTCAAAGGCCTTAGGCCATGACAAAGAGTCGTGGGAGCAGAGGCAGCCTCAGAAAGGATTTTTAGGGGCCAGCCCCGTGCGTAGCGGTTAAGTGCGCAAGCTCCGCTCCTGGCGGCCTGGGTTCGGATCCCGGGCGCACACAGACGCACCACTTGTCAGGCCATGCTGTGGCGGCGTCCCATATAAAGTGGAGGAAGATGGGCACGGATGTTAGCTCAGGGCCAGTCTTCCTCAGCAAAAAGAGGAGGATT